GATACTATGGTGTAAATTAAGCAGAATCGATGGCAGTAACGGTAAAGACGGTGGCTATTGGCGAGCAGATAGAGGAGACTGGGTTGGTGGCGCACTGGGCACGGAGAAGACAGAGTTTCAAATGATGAAGGGGCAAATCCGAGCCAACAGCTACTGCGGAGCTGGCGGAGGCGGCGACGAAGGCTGTGTCGACTCACGCCGCTCCCGCTCCCAGAAAGCCTACGTTCTCCAAAAGCGCCCCGCACCGGCCAATCTGGAGCCTCGCCATGTGACGTCACAGCGCGGGCGTTCACCCGGGGCGGGGACCGCTGCTGGGCGAGCGGGCGGGCCGGCAGGGCCGGGCGGGCCGGGTCGGCGGGTGCGCGGATGAAGGGGGCGCAGAGCGCGGAACGGGATGAGCGGGGCGGCAGCGGGCGGAGGCGGCGGCGCGGGAGGGCGGGCGCGGGCCGTGCGGGGCCGTGCGGCCGGCGCGGCGAAAGCAGGGGCGGACAGAGGCGACGGACGGGCATGGCCGGACGGATGGGCGCGATGGACGGGCGGAGACGGGGACGGGCGGGCGGGCGGGCGTGACGCGGGGCGGGACAGGACAGCCGCGGCGCGAGGAGTCGCGGACGTGTGCTGCGCACTCGCAGAAGCCGCGAGAACGGTGACGAGACGGGCTCCGTGGCGGTGTCGAAATACGAGATGTCTCGATGTGCGCAGGTGAGGTTCTGGGAAAAGCCTTCGTTCCGGCCCCTCGCCTCGCCCGGGGGCCCGTGCTGTCATTACGCGAGAGATTCGGCACGCGCCCCGCCGCCGCCCTTTAAACGAGACAGAAACTCTAAATTTGCCTGATTTATGTCCCGTACATTCTAGTTCGGTCAACATTTCAGTCCTTTTGTATAATTACTCATTCGCGTCTCAATTTTATTTCACACTTTCTGTGATTCCTGTTCCATGCTGGTAGATTTTGTGAAGCAAATAAAACCTGACATGAGAAAAAAAGTTGTTGAATTTACGGATGCGTGACTGATTATTTAGGGCAAAAAACATTTGTTTTGGGGGTTTGTCAGGATATGATAAATAAGTAATTGAATGAAGTAAGGAACGTGCTGAGAGTTTAATAGAAGAAATTTAAAAATAACTGAATACGTTTCTGTATGATTGAATTTTAGAAATGTAAATAAGTAAAAATTACACAGAACTGGCTTTCTCGTTTTCTACAACTGACCAGAACATTTCGTTGAACGGCCTTATAACCAAACATTTACTGAACTGTCTATCAATTTGGCGTTAAAATAACTAGCAAGTTTCAATCTGCCATAAACGTCCCACAACTCGTACAGGACATTACGAACATTAAACAGAACCATTTTTTAATCACACACTCCCTTACGGAAGCTGGCGCTAATGGTTCTTCTATTTGAAGCAAATACAACTCAACTTCGCAAAAAGTAATAGCACGATTTGTGAAGTCTTTGTAATAAGTTATGTTTCTACAGGAAAAAACTTATTATTCAATTTACAATTTATTTTGATACATTACAATTCTCCATTTCAATTTTATCGTCACGCTATTCTGACATTATTGCATGAAAGTAAAAGAACAGATGACACTGAAATTTTATTTGAACAGTATTATCTAAACAGAGTTGTCTATCAAATTGCTAGAAAAGTTTCAACAAAAAAATTAAAATTCGAATGTTATTCTCTAATTAATCATTCTTCCAATTATTCCGAGATATCTAGTACATTTTAAATAATTCATAGGTTTTCAATAACATTGAATTTGTTCATAATGTTGTTTCTAACAGGTGTCATTAGAGCTCGACAGTTCACACATTTATATTAGCTAAATAGGTAAACAATAGTTCATTTATTATTACTAAAAAGGCACGCAAAAAGGCTTTTATTCTGCATTAAGAAAGGAGTAAAAACACAGGAAACATTACAAAAATCACTGTTCAAAAGTAATTTGTGTAAAAATTAATAATTAAATGATTCAAATTTTTATTCTAATTCTCAAATTTACATTTGCCCTCACGTGGAAGGTACTACTGTTTCTTTGTAATTTTGATTGCACTTGGCCATTCGGTATAAAGATTCCGAATTTATTTTACACGCAACGCTTCTCTACGAAATGCTTTTGTGGAGTGAAAACGGAATTGAAGATTTCATTCTTCGCACTTGCGTAATCGTCATGGGAAGGGAAGAGAGAACAAAAAGAAACTGGGAAGGGTGAATCTTGTATAGACAGCTCTGTCCTCAAAAAGATATGAGGCCATACACAAACATTACATTGGATGAGATTCATCGCGAGCGAACAAGTCAGTAAGCATTAACGAAAAATATCAAAACTCTTCAAAGGTAACATCTTCCTGTCCCTTTTACATGTTTAACGCAACCAGACACTGCGCATCCGTGTTCACAGAAAGGAAATAATCGAATTGTTCCTCCATGTTGAACATGCTTGCACGTATGGTTCCAGCTTGATACGGACTGACGCAAAGAGAAGAAAATAAGAAAATAATGACGAAAGTGGCAGAAAAGGGCATAAATAGGCAAAAATACCAAAAATAGGCATCACACGTAAACATGAAAACATGGCAACATGAAAATCTACTTAAACAACTCCAGAAGTAGCGATTCTTAATGTTAAAAGTCATACAAAATCGTAAACAATAATATAAAAGCATTTTGTGAAACTTCCAAGCTAAAGAAATATTTTTGCTTCCAATAACACTGGTCAACAGCATTTCTCAACAGCAACAAACTCTCAATGGTGTTCTTAGCTAAGGCTTGGACCCCGAATTCGAATAATAAGTCAGTTTTTGTCTACCGAACGCAATTGTTTGTGAAGTGCTTCTCCCTATATACTGGAATTATTGAAAACGCCGCATATTGATTATTTTGCTGTAACTTAAATTAATTATTCTGCAGATGCAATTATTCAGGAACAGCCAAAAAGTTAGCAAGAATTCCTATAAATGACATGAAATCAAAACATTCACCTCTACGAAATGAAAACGGTTTGGCAACATTGGTGATAAGTCACACTGGAACTTGAGTGTCTTGCCGGCTGTGACCCATCGTTGAAAGTTCTGATAGTGTGAGAAGTTCTAGGTTCGTAAAGGTTTGTGCTTTGTATTAATTTAGAAGAATAAATGCCTTGTAAGTGTGTGCAAATATCCCAAATTCGTTTTGTTATATCAGTAGTGAATTAACTCTGAAATTGCACAAACGGAACCTTAATGCTTTGATAAGGAAGTGTTAGAATTTTATTGCGGATGTAAGACCTGGACCACAAAAGAGCCCCCCCTCCCATATATGCTGTGTTTCGTGTGTTATACCCCTGACATGCTGGTTAATATGTTCATGACACATGCCCTTTGATGATCTCATGTTTTGGACGGAACCAACGGATCACACAATAGATTGTTTCAAACAAAAATAGCTGGAATCAGCTCAAAAATGAAGAAAACTGTGCAATATCCTAATTTACTATATCATAGTATATCATTGTGAATTAGGCATAGAAGAATTGCAGGTACCACTACTTCCTGAGAATTTGACACGGAGTGAAGATGGTTGCTACAGTGACGCACATTCAGATGTCACAAGGAGATGTATATGCTGACTCAAATGAACCACATTTTTTGTCTCAAGAGGATCTCGCCGATCTCGTTCGTGATTTAAATTTATCGAAGCAACAGTTTGAAATTTTAGCTTCGCAGCTAAAAGGATGGAATCTTCTTTTTACATGTTCGAAACTGAGTGATTTTCGGGATCGCAAAGTCGTTTTTTCAAAATATTTCTCCAAGAAAAGTAACATAGATAGCTTTACGTTTTTGAAATGATATCGAGTCCGTTATGGAGACTCTTGGCCATGATTTCAATGTAAAGAAATGGGGCTTGTTTTTAGATGCCAACAAAATAATCATTACACCAATGCGCATTAAGTTGGGTCTCGTCAAAACTTTTGTGAAAGCCATGGAGAAAACCACGAGGATTCATGTATTTTCGCGATAAGTTCTCATCAATCACTGAAGCAATAAATGAAGGAACGTTTGCAGGACTGCAAATTACAAAATTAATGGATGATGAATATTTCTTTGATTTGTTGAGTGATGTTGAAAAAAGGCATGGCTGCCTTTCGCAAGTGTTCGTAAAAACGATTTAGGCAACCATGATTCCGAAAACTATCAAAATTAGTACTTGAACCATTGAGATCATACCACCGCATGGGATGTAACGTCACTTCAACTACATTTTTTTAATGATCGGTTTGACTTCTTCCAGGATAACCTCGGAGCCGTTAGTGATGAACAAGGTGAAATGTTCCACCAAGACATTCCTCAAACGGGAAAGCGTTAGGAAGGCATTTGGGAGACGCAATGTTGTCCGACTACTGCTGGACCTTTCGAAGAGACGTTCCCGAGGAAAATCGCAAGAATCGCAAGAATCCGGGAAATCGCAAGAATACGGGAAGGAAATATTTTTAGGTATGGTTGTTCACTTTTCTTAACACTTACGATGTTGTAGTTAATGTATACAACTGTATTTGTTGTTATTAAAGCGTAACATTTTGCCAGGTATACATAATCCACTGGGAGACACGCGCTTATAAAGACAATCATCACATGAAAACTGAGGCACATACAGAAATTCTGAAATTAGATCAGGATTGAGAGGCAAATTATTGTACAGAAATAGTCTGTTCTGTTCTTGTTACAGAAAAAAAGGTTTTATCCACTACACATCGTCACTGATTTATCACGAAATGATAAGAAGACTTTGACGCCAATCGAATGAAGAACAGCAACTATTCACAAGGCTGGCACACTACCACACTTAACCTGTACTGCAACTGACCGAGAATCATTGCACATACATAAGATTTGGTTGCAAAATTTAAACTTCAAATATTTTTTTCGCCAGAAAGCACCAAAACACGTGACTATCGGACTCCAAAGACGCCGCTGGGGGGTGCGGCGAGCGTCGCGTGCGCGCCACCAACTTACGCAGGGGGTTGGCCGCAGGCGTCGGGGGCAGCGAGCGGTGATCCCTTCCAGCGGAGGTTGTGCGCGTCGCGTCCACGTGGTCCACTGCACCAGCCCTGCACGAAATCCGCGCGCGACTGAAGCGCGATCAGGCGGCGCGCGCGAACGCAGGCGCCGCGTGGGCTTTCGTCTTAGTCATTGTCGAACTTCTGGCGGCGGCGGCGGCGGTGGTGGCGGAGGAGGAGGCTGGGGCTGCGTCGGCGCCGTGGCGCGGGCCCCGCTGCTCTCGAGTCGCGAAGGACGCGCGCGCTATTCTCGGCCCGAGTCGCAACGTAGCGGCGAAGGTGGCGCTGCCGGTGGCGGCACTTCCAACGGTGGGGGCGATGGAAGTAGATTAGGAGAGAGGTTGGCAGCTGTAGTAGCGGTCGCGTAGGGGGGACTGTTAGATGTTGGGAGACGATTCAAGTGGTGCTTGGGGTAGTGGAAGTGAAAGTTGGGACGGAAGTTGTGTGATGATTGTGGTGACCATAGTGGTGGTGCTAAATATGGTGATGATGATAGTGGTAGTAATGAGGATGCAAATTGTTCAATTGGAAGTTCTGACTAGTGATGCGACATCAATAACAAAACACCTTTGTCAGCTAACATCGATGTTCAAAATACATCAACGAAAAACTATCGATGTTCTTCAACATCGATGTATTTCTACTCGATAAGTATCCTCTAATATTAAATTCGTGTGAAATAAAATTGAATTTGACAGTGTTACTGTTTATAAATTCTCCGCATAAGGGTATGATAAGAAGGTGCCGACCCTACACTCACAGCGTACTTGTTTTCCATATCTCAATGTACAAAATGAATGTGAAGAGGAAAAACAATTGCATAGAGATCATCTCAGGCTAGAGAGTTTGGTCATTGTAGGCAGTGCCGCCAGCATTCCTTTGGATCCAACACTTGAATATCAGAGTTGCTATCAGTTATTTCCAGTGACGTCTAGGGCTCAGTGAGCAGGGGAATGCGATCAGAGTTTTACAGATTAAACAAGGTGCACGAATTACGGTATCTAATAGACATTGTACTATATGTTTATGTATTCCTTATTACGATGTGCGTACCTACTGTACCGTCTGTCAGAATTGTTAATTTTGTGTGGCTCTGACAGCAATAAACAAAATAATAGAAAAAAACGTACATTGAAACAAGGAAGATGCACCTAATTGTTTAATTAGAGGTTGATTTGCCGTCATCTTCTAGCATACTTGAAAATTCAGTAAAGTTTTTGAAAACCTTTGAAAAGACATTGGGAGTTTTCGCACACCGTTTCCTCGTGTAACTCACCTTCTACAAACCATGTGCTTGCCATGTCGCATCTTTTCACACGAACATTGTTGGCATCTAATTATCGCGTTAGTTTCATAATTATGATTTTTCTTTGTGAAAGACATGTTAATCTCCATAATGCTATTTCAAGAAAAACTTAACACTTTCTCAACAATCCACTGTACACATGAAAAAACTGGCAACAACATCAGCAGTGGGCGGTTATCAGTACTGACAACCCACCTCTCCTGTACTGTGATTTTTCCAATTCTGTCCCTGGCAGGTATCAGATATTGGCAATTTCATCTAATCAGGGACTTGAACGTCACTATGATGACGTTCAAGATCCTCATTGGATGAAACTGTCCACAACTGATACCTGCCAGGGGCAGAGTTGGAAAAATCGTAGTATAAATCACGAATTGGATTAGGACAGTTGGCAAACATGAGTATGCATGCGTGTGTATTTTTTTCATAGTGTGGTCAAGATGTCACCCCTCCAACACGCTATGGGAACGACTTTTCGTTAGCATGTGACCACTGGGGTTCCCAGTCTGACAGAAGAGAGGTGCTCAAAGGAGGCAATACCGAAGCTTTGCGAGGAGGGATACAGAGCGCCAATGAGAAGTCGGAGTCGCCAATGCGAAAGCCAGCGTCGCATTACCATAAAGCTCGCATCTTCCACACAGCACATGGTGAGAGTTCAATGACCTCGGTAACGCAACGAAGCCGTCGAAGAAGGGAAGTTTCTCGGCCTTTGACATACACCGTCACAGACGTCTACCGCAACGCGCATGGGGAAAAACAAATGGTACAAACGGAACAGAGAGATATACTTGAGAGAAGAAAAATATTTTTAACAAAAGTTTTAAAAGGGCAGAAAAACGTAGGGATGCGACACATTACTCTATCCATTGAGCCTACGCCACAGGTTATTTCATATTTTAACTTCTACGGTATTGTGATAATGAGTATTTTTCCTTCAGAAACAAAATATCGGAATAGAAAAAAAATATCATTGTTCACAAAACATCGCTGTTAATAAAAAGTCGGTGTTAATAAATCGAAACATTGAAATACATAATGAATACATTAAAAATTTCTACATCGATGTCGCATCCCTAGTTCTGACCATTAACCTATTAAATACGAATGGGAAAGAGGTTTCCCAGAGCATTTCAAAGCTCCGATTCTCACGCATCGGAGCTCCGGCCAACGCTATCAGGCAGGGATGGGTTAATGAAGTACGGTCTTGCGGCAGGAAGAGCGAGCGTGGGCTTCTCTGATATTTCTTGCTTTTACAGTGCGCCGCAGCTCGTGAGACATAAGGGGAATATTGATCGCCAGTCAACCTTCGCTTGGAGACGTCATTCGAATATTATTATTGTATTATGACATACCAAACTAAGAACAAAATAAATGATTTATGTTTTCATTTTATAAAAGAATTTGGGTGTCGCATGGCATATACATATAACTTCCACTAATTAGTTCCATAATATATAACATTAATTTCATAGGTAATAATTGAATTGTGCCAGAAATAAATTTTCCTACAGTAGAAGGTAACAATGGGGTAAACTCAAGTTTACAGCAATGCAATACATTTATTAATTTTATATTTTGTTATGTATTGTTTTGTATTATTAGCAATGTTTTAATAGTTTTTTGTTTTGGTATAAAACATCGTCTTGGTGCTACACAAATATCTCTTCAGTCTAACAATGCATCACTTCAGTTAGTGCGCATTTTTTTTAGTACCTTGTACTTATATGTAACGCTTCACTGTATACCACCTCCCGTCACACACCATAGTCACAACAAACCCGCCTCGACCCACGCGTCTCATGGGCGATCGCAGTCGCGTTTTGCTTTTGCAAAATGTTCTAAATATAAAGGCATTGATACCATGTAATGCAAAGTTGTGCAAAAGGGAGGGTAAAGAATGAAAGGAAGTTCAAAAGAGGATCATTGCCCAAAATACTATTACTTTATTTTGCAGAGGACACGTTTATACTGTCTTACTCAGTTAATCCCTTCCTCCTAAAGTCTCTATCAAGAAGGACTTTTAACACTGGGAGGGTAGCTGTCATCACTCTCCGAAGTTAAACCTCCACTGGGGTCAATTCGTCTATTTAAAAAAGTCCATACCGCACGGAGTGCAGAAGGAAAAAAACTCCGTAGCTGAAATGTTAAATGTTATTGAAGTTACGTATGCTTTGAAAATATTTTCAGTTCATTTGCAAGTTTCCTGTAGAGACTGAAATTACTTATTAAAGCCCTATTATTTAAACAGTTGTAATCATTCGTTCTTGAATTAAAAAAAATAGTAAATACGTTTTAGTATTAGTCTCTAGTAAATAAAAATTGAAAACGGATTTTCTCCATAAACGTATTTCACCATCCTTTACATTCTTTGATACTGTGTGTGTGCCATCAGCTTCACTTGGGCAAGTGTTTAAAAGAGAAGTTCTCCTTTTGTGTTGCTTTCAGTTGTATTTTGATGGTTCGTAAGAAAGCATGTAGTAGAGTTGAAGATATACTTCTGGAAATTGCAAATGCGAAAATTAAACGAAAAAGTCCACCCGCAGCACGGTGGTACTGAACTTTATTTCTTAGAAAGTTTCGTCATCGAAGAGGAGGAAGTAACATTATAATGAGGTATGAAGAACAAAAAGTAGTTCAAGGATGCGAAGTGAACTAATTCCCCTTCAATAAAAGGAATATAGGTGGCTACATAATTAAATTTGCATATTAGTAACATATATGTCCTATTTGTACAATTCAAAGTCATTAATAGGCAATAATAAAGTATATTTTTTTAAATGATTTTCTTTTCAAATTCTTAGCATTATTTCTGCATTAATTTCGTTTAATTTTGATGTGTATGAATGGAGTAAATTCATTATGATTAAGTGTGATCATTTCTTTTACTTTTTAACATTTTGATAAAAAAATAAATACTACCGGCCAAAATAATTGTAGTTATTGAAGTTGAGGGGTAAATAAACGTAGCATATTTCAGATGAAAGCAGAACAAAGTACACTTACATACGCCTTACAGAGCGAGAGAAGTAAAAACGTAAAGAACAAAATAATATTGCACACAGTCTGAATCGTTGTAGTAATTAATAAATGAATATTTCAATCCAGATTCGGAACTTTTTGATCAAAAGTTTATAATTTTCTATGAATGATTGTTTCCCGTTTATTAATAACGCTCAAACCAACATATCATTAATATATTCGCAGTGTTTGTAATAATTTGAGCCACACTCAAATAAGTTTAACAAGATAAGGAGAATTGACATAATTATATCAGAACCAATATGCTTAATTGTAAATGGCATTACCGGGAGCTATATCATTATGTATTTTGATACCTACGCCCACGATAGCACAAACTAGAGTATTAAATAAAAAAACAGTTGTGCATAAAACCGATAGTATATAAACACACTAGACAAATCCCTGTACTACCAACCGGTAGCATTCAGTATTCACCCATAACACCTAACGACTTAATGATGAAACCTGTGAGAAAAGTATAAATTCTGACTTCACATAATTTTAGATCACACTATAAGCAAAATGATTCTGAAACGAAGGTCCAAATATGTATAAAGGGAGTTTAGACCAGCACGAAAATTTTATATCATGCACCTTCAGCTGATGGATTGAAATGAAAATATTCTCCCCCAACCATTCACAAGAATTATTAATTATCCATCCAAATTTAGTTGACAAGGACAATTTTAATTGATCAAAAATTATTTTTTATGAGAATTATCTGTAAGGGATTTTTTACCCTGAACTTGAGCTTACAATTT